ACTGTGATGGGCGAGCGAAGCGAGTCCTGAAAACGGTTGTAATCCCATAAACTCGTTTCGAATCCATGGAAACAGTCGCTTTTCAGAACTCGCTTCGCTCGCACATCAAACATTGTCAAAAAATAAATAAAAACATCTGTTAATTTTCAAATGAAGAAAATAGATTACTTCTTTTTGCTGTTGATGGATGAAATTTATAAATTTTCCATTTCGTTCGGTTGAAAAATTGCGTTCGAACGGTTTTTTTTTTGTCGGCCGATCTGGAATTGCTCCGTCACTCGAACTAACGGATCGATTAGCACTGATTAAGACTAATTTAATTAAGGAGTTTAATGGGGAAAGCGCGGCACGTCCATCGCAGCCGGCAGACACTGTCCGTTTCGGGAATAGATTTTTAATTGTTTTCCTCCCCAAAATCACGAATCTGAAATTAAACGTTTCTTTTGGAATTTCTGTTATATAATTGATTGATCGCTTATAGTGCGAAGATGTAGTCAACAATGTCAGAATTTAAAAGTTTGAGATCAAGTTTATGAAGTATTGAAGATTACTATAGCCTTTCAGGACTCGCTTCGCTCGCCCATCAAAGTTTACTTAACGTTTCATTGAATATAGTGATGCATTCATTAGTTGGTAAAGTAAGTAATGATGGGCGAGCGAAGCGAGTCCTGAAAAGCGACTGTTTCCATGGATTCAAAACGAGTTTATGGGATTACAATCGCTTTCAGGACTCGCTTCGCTCGGCCATCAAAAGCAAATGAAGAAGTTACATAAATAATAGCTATGTATTTATCTTTTGTTGAAAATATCTTGATGGGCGAGCGGAGCGAATCCTGAAAGGCAACTGTAGTCAAGATGTAGTCAGGAAGTTATGATGATTGTTGCACTCTTTCATGATCTGAAAAGGGTTTAAATTCTTGTATTCACAATGATTCCTGAAATTTACAGTTGCCTTTCCATCAAAAACCAATAAAAAAGTAATAGGTAAAAGTATTCATTTGTTTTTTAGGAAGTTATGAAGAGTACTGTACTCTTTCAGGATATGAAATAACTGAAAATAATATAATTTAATACTAGTTAACTTATATTTATTTATATTTTTGTATTTCAGATTAACGGTGACGATGAATGGGAGTACGAAGAGATCGTGTTGGAACGCGGAGGTGCCGGGCTCGGTTTCAGCATCGCCGGAGGCACGGACAATCCTCACATCGGCGACGATACCGCCATCTACATCACGAAGCTGATACCAGGTGGAGCGGCGTCGACGGACGGTCGTCTTCAAGTGAACGATTCGATCCTCCAGGTCAACGATGTGCCCGTTGTGGACGTTCCACACGCGACCGCCGTTGACGCCCTCAAGAAGGCAGGAAACACCGTGAAACTGGTAAGCGATGATGAAAATTTATGCTTCCACCTATCACGTACTAGTGTTTTATTTTTTTCTCTCTTTGTGAGTAAAAAGGATAAAACTGTTGATGCGTTACCGCACGCGACTGCGACAGTCACGTCATGTCGCTCTTCCTGCTGACCCGTACTACCTGCAGCCACTTTCCTAGGATCGCCGTCGATTTGGAAATGACTGTAGTTTCTTGAAATACCAAAGATGTAGTATTATTACTTATTAAGGTGTTAATGTTTTTTCTTTTAAATTTTTAGTGCGTGCGACGACGGAGGCTTCCGGCGAGCTTACGTCTGCTCGAGATTGAGCTGATCAAGGGCAACAAGGGTCTAGGATTCAGCATCGCCGGAGGAATTGGTAATCAGCACATCCCCGGCGACAACGGCATCTACGTGACTAAGGTCATGGACGGCGGTGCTGCCCAGGTTGACGGTCGTCTGATGGTCGGAGACAAACTCGTCGCAATCAGAGATTCAGCGGTGAGAGACCCATCAAAAGTTATCATAATTTCGTTTACAATCAATTGGAAACAGTACCTTTTCAGGACTCGCTTCGCTCGCCCATCAACTTCAATTCCATGTTATAATCATCTCTTAAGTAAATAAAAAGTTTATATTCACTAAACTTTGATGGGCGAACGTAGTGAGTCCTGAAAGGCAACTATAGTCATCAAACTCTAATGGGACAAATGGAAACAGTACTTTTCAGGACTTGCTTCGCTCGCCCATCATCTACAATTCCATGTTATAATCATCACTTAAGTAAATAAAAAGTTTATATTTACTAGACTTTGATGGTCGAATGTAGTGAGTCCTGAAAGGCAACTGTAGTCATCATACTTTAATGGGATAAATGGAAACAATATTTTTCAGGACTCGCTTCGCTCGCCCATCAACATCATTTGCGTTACAAACAAAAATTAATACCTAAGAACAATCGTTTTATAACTACATCTTGATGGGCGAACGTTGTGAGTCCTGAAAAAACGATAGATTCACCTGAAACAAACCAAAACAATATATTTTAATAATACTCCTATAATTCTAAGGCAAATAATATTTTTTTCATCACCCATCCAAATTGCTTAACTTTCATGAACGCGTAAAACATCCTGTATCCTCCTTTTTTTTTTAGACTTTGAATATTAAAAACTCCCCCGGACTGCATTAACTTTTTTACGCTCTCTCCCATATATTCACGTGCAATACGTCAAGCGTGCGCTGCATCAAAAAAAAACAAGTAAATACAAAATACAAACTCTATATAGAGGGGAGTTTCATATTATATAAGCCATAAACTGAAGCTGGGGATAGAGAAAAATGAAAAAACACGCTGTTTTATTCGCTTGTAAAACTCTGTTTCTGGGCCTGTTGAACACAACCCTCCTCTCCTTCATCCAACAGCTTTAGCACGCGCCTCGCGTACCCTCGTTACGCAGATTACGTAATAAAATAAGTTCGGAAGCGAACGTTAAGTCAAGATATATACAGAGGGGAAGTTTGAGAGAGAAAAAAAATACAACATCACGTAAGTTGGAAAGGGAGAGGAAAAAAGTGTCTTCTAGACTGATGTAGTAGGCGCATGAAATTAGCAGCGAATTAAGTCGGAGGTCGTAAAATCGTGGGAGGCGGACGAGAGATGATAATGAACGCTAAAGTAATTAGAAAAGCGAGATTTAATTAATAAACAAGTACAGAAGAGCGCTAAAGAGAAATTTACAAAAAACAAAATAAGTTAACTAATTGCAATTGAGTTTAATTAATTGATCATTTTTTTGCGATAGTTTGTAAAAAAAAATTAAGAAGAAAACGATGAAAAGTAAAGAAAAACATAACTCGATTGGATCCCATAAATTGCAAATAGTTTAAGTGCTGCTTCTGTTTCCGGATGTAATTGAATTTTTGTTGAGCTTTTGAAAGAAGGGAGAGAGAGGAGAATCAAGAGGTGAAGAAAAATAAAAAAGGAATTTAAAACGAAACGAAAGCTTTTAGTCTTTCCTAAACTTTTTCCATCTTTGCTCACAGTTTAAGTTATATGTACAGGGTGATGATACATCTGGATTCCTCTCAATAATATCTATTTTAAAGATTCCCACTGTATATAATATCAATTCAAGTGAAATTATTTGAAATTAAGTGCGAATTCCTCTGCTTTTGAAGGATGATATATATATACATATTTTTTTTTTCTATCCCATTTGTCGGGTATTTGAAGGGACACAAAAGTGGGATGAAAAGTAGAGGTTTGGTATAGAAGTGGATATGGAGATGACTTTTATGGTGGCCGGTTTTCCGACTCTGCTCCATCATATTTCATCTCTCGCGTGCAAAAAGAGGAGCCCAATTCTATTTCAAACATCCCCCCAATTTTACTCTCTCAATTCTAAATTCTAAAAAAAAAACGGAATTCAAGATATATTTATATATATAGTGTGTGTGTACGTGAATAAGTATACTTCGAGAAGAAAAGGGCAATTTGGGGGGAGCGAAGCGAATATAATAGTTTTGGAGGGTTGAAGAAGAGAAAGGAAATAATAATAACAATAACTACATCTAACGTTAAATTGAGGAAATTTAATTCGGAGCGACAGTTGAAATAATAATAATAATAGCGAGATGGCCTTGCAATTTCATCTAGATTATTTTTGTTTCTTCTGAACGAAATTGTGAAAAGATATCACTCACCTCTTTATTTTCAACTGATTACGACTTTCACCAAACTTTCTCACCTCTCTCATTTTGTTGAATTTTAATATGAAGTATTGCATAATGCAAATATGATTATCTCATTTGATTCTAAATTAGTTCAGGACTATAATCGTTCTTCAGGACTCGCTTCGCTTTGTAATTCACTACATAACGCACTTATTAACATTTAAAGTGTTGAATAATACAGCAATTGTAAATTACGCCATCTGTGTTTAATTTTCTGAATGAATTCTTGATTTAATACTAATTTGATTGTTTGTTTGTTTCAGCGGGGTGAGGTGAATTTGGAGAACGTGAGCCACGAGGATGCAGTCGCCACGCTGAAGGCGACGCAGGAAAGGGTGGTTTTGATCGTCGCGAAGAGCCAGAGCGCTTACTCGGCCCCTCCGGCCTCCGAACCCTCATACTCGCCGCAATTATGTAAGTGGACACTTTTTTTTTAACCCTATTTCTCTCTTATTTCCTTTTTTCTTCTTTGCAGCATCAAAGTTGTCCCATCCGTACGCTGAATCGCTTCACTCATCGTCGTTAGCGCTTCACCCCATCACACCCAGAGCAGTTAGTCAGGAAGACATCACACGGTAAGTCAATTTATTTAATAGTTTCTCTTCAAAATAACTATGAAAATCCAATTGGATTAAATTATAATACAATTGAAGAAAACGAGATGGCGCTACAATCTAATTTATTTATTTTCATCACCTACTCACAACAAATATAATTATCATCACTCGCTTTGTTTAAACATCAATATTTAAAGTCTTTTAATTATTTGTGTGTGAAGTAAACATGAAGAAAGTCCTGAAAACGGTTTAATTCCATTTGTCCGAAGAGAATGTTGAAGACTACGGTTGTTTTTCAGGACTCACTTCGTTCGCCCATCAAGATCTAACGAGTTATCAATATTATTTATTTATATAAGAGATAATTGTAACATTCTTAAATTTGATGAGCGAACAAAGTATTGTTTTCAATTGATTCTAAGCGAGTTTAGAGGATTACGATGAAATTATTAAGTAATATAATACAATTTTTGATGGGAATATTTATATAATTACAAACTACTCTCAAAGATGGAGTTGCAATCGAATTAATGTATTTCGTTTATTCATCTGTAGTTTTCCAATTGGAAAAGCTCAAACTTTCATGAAGTATTGTTCTCCAATGATTTACACTCGAGTCGTTTCATAACTTCTTCTTCGAGCCTATCCAAAGATGTTTATCCTTCTTTAAGTCGAAGTCTCGTTTCGTCTGATTTCTTTTTATATTTTAATTAAGAATCTTGATGAGAGAGCTCAACGAACTCGCAGTAATTACTAATCTTTATTAAGATCCGATCCGCTCGAACGGATCGAAAAACAACAAGCGAAGTGAATGGACAGAGAAATGAAGGGTTTTTGAAGGGCGGAATTGGATGTTTTGTTGTGCTGCATTTTCTATTTCTACTCTTTCATTGCAAACGTCCATTTCCTACAGTCGCATGTCCGACGACAATAAATTTCAATTAACGGAAAAAACTCCTGCAATCAAGACACATGCGATGTTGGTTGCATACAGTTATCGATCGCATTCCACAGTTAATAAAACTCGACAGAAACATGACAACAACAACATGTATGACGAAAATCTGATACGAAAGGTCGTCGGTTCGATTCCCAAAAACCAAACAAAATTTGTGGTGGCTGTTAAACCCGAAAGGGGTAGAAAAAAAAATTCTTGTCTTTGTCACATTGTGAAAAGCTAATTTAAACTTATCGTAGAATTCCGTGCAATTTCACCGCATTCCGCAATATTCGAATATTCGCGAACGGAATGTTTCGCAATTGCGAGTCGTAAACATAGTTAAATTACAGTTGATCGTTTCGTATTAACAATTGAAATACGCCGTGTTGCCAATTTATTTATATGTATGCAAGCATATACCGCAGTTTCAATATATATTATTATATTTGGGTCCACATGGAAATTGTTTTGCGAAATTACGTCGAATTGGGGGGGGAGGTGGTTCAAATTTGGTAATTCTGGTCAAGAGAATCGAAGAGAATCAATTGCATAATCAATTTTCGGCTATTTTGTTATGATAATGTGCATTTCAATTTTAGCTTTTTAATTATTATTATTACAATTTTCATTTTATTTAATTATTATTGATATTATGTTGTTTTGGACAATTATGAAATTGTTTTGTTGGGCGAGTGATGCGAGTCCTGAAAGGCTGCAGTAGTCTTCAAAATTTACTTCAAATACAGGAAAACTGATCATTTTCAGGACTTACTCCACTCGCCCATCAATTTTTCCACTTTACTCGTTTATTAACTTTTCCATAAATACGAAGTATAACTCTTACTTAAAGCTTATAGTTGACTTAATAAATTTGGATGATGGGCGAACGTAGCGAGTCCTGAAAGGTTGCAGTATTCTTAAAAATTCACTTCAAATTCAGGAAAACTGATCATTTTCAGGACTCACTCCACTCGCCCATCATCTTTTCCATAAATACGAAGTATAACTCTTACTTATAGCTTATAGTTAACTTAATAAATGTGTATGATGGGCGAGCGAAGCGAGTCCTGAAAGGCTGCAGTATTCTTCAAAATTCGCTTCAAATTCAGGAAAACTGATCCTTTTCAGGACTCACTCCACTCGCCCATAAACTTTTCCATAAATACCAAGTGTAGTTCCTACCTTAGCAAGTCCTGAAAGGTTGCAGTAATCTTCAAAATTCTCTTCAAATTCAGGAAAACTGAGCATTTTCAGGACTCACTCCACTCGCTCATCA